TCCAACATGGTGGCACCCAACACACATCATCTGGCATGGGATAATGACCACACTCAGTGGGCACAACACAGCCAGCAGCATCAACATTAAACCACACTGCTGATACCTAATTATGTACCGTTACGTTAATTTTTGTTACATAGGCAACACGAAACACACCAGCAGGACACAACAGCTAACTACATACTGGCACACACCTGCAGAAGCACATCCACTGATAAAGTTACACAGCCAACAACACGGGGGGGGGACGGGGTAAATGTCTTACCTGTGCTGACAGTCCCAATTAAGTGAGTTCCGCTTTAGGGAAAACATGAAGAAAGTTCCATCTGTGTGTCACTGGTTCTCTGAAGATGCCAGAGGTTTTGAGAAGTATACAGGTTGTCATGTAGGACACCATTCATCTCATACACATGTCACTGGGGCTCAACTTTATGTCCAGGAACTTCAGTAGGTCCTCACTGCGGGGGAAAATGGCGGCCTGATAACCACCTGCATTGGTCTACTTAACTTACTGTCCGATGAGGGAAATAACGCAAATGAGGGCACGGCTTTGAAAAGGACGGATGATATTTCAACGTTTCATATACGTTGGCAACCTAACTAAAGGTAGCTTGCTTGTCAGGGTCCTTTGCAGCAGAGTTATTATGGGTTTGGAATTTTTTATTTGTTTTTATTTTCATTTAATTTTTCAGTGTTCTTTATTATTATTATTATTATAATATGGACTCACAGTGTATACATCCCAATAAAAATATTTTTATTTTATTTTAATTACTTTCAGTTATTTTTTTATTTTTTTCACACTTAGTTGTATTTTAAGTTTAGTTTTAGTTAACTATAAAAACCTTGGACCCAAAGCCATTCAATTAAAAAAAAAATATATATATATTTTATTATCAGTGGTCACATAATCTAGAGAACATAATATATATAAATATATTGTATAAATAATTATTGACTGGTTGATTGACCAGTATTCATGAATTCAGATTTGATATGATGTGTCAACGTATGTATGTTTGACTAGGTGGGCCCACCTGCCTGTGGCACTGTGGCATAGGATCATGCTTATTCATTATGTAGTGGATTTACTGTATACTTACATGATATCCATAAACAATGCATTGCCAAGATAAGATGGCTAAATTATTGATCAACTGGTTTTATTAAGGCTTTACTTAGCCTACACAGAGCAGGCTACATAATTGTAAATGTCTAAAGGCAACAATCAAATAGCCTACTAACTAGCCAGAGAATTGTATAAAGACACATTTGGACCAGTTTAAGTGAAAAACTAAAGACTAGTTGGCAGTTATAGCATTTCCAAATTTGCATAATAATAAAAAAATCTTGGCAAAATTGTGCTTGGGCAATAATTATGAACCAGACTGTGGGCTACTCTAGGATTGTGTGGCTGTACTGTAGGGGCACTAGCAACCACTAGCAGCTCATGTCTTATTTTTTATTTTTTTGCCTGAGTGATAAGGGAGAGTTCATGCTCCTCTTCTGTATGGTTTCTAAGACTCTAAACCTTTCAGGAAAGACATGAAAGAACCTTTGAAAGTTAGCTTGGATTTTAGTCTGGCAATGCAACACACACAGAAAGGCACCCTCTCTCTGAAGATATATTCAGTCATCACAGTGTATCTTACATTATTGGAAGTGAAGGGACATATAAATGAGTTGTAATGACGGCTTTCTCATTTAAAATGCCAATGTAGTTTCAATATGAGCCTCTCTGTGTGAATATTGCCTTGCCTAACAAAGCGAGTGATAAACACTAAATGCTGAGCAGCTCATATTCAACAGTAATCAGATGAGCTGTATTTCACAAGCAGTATGCAAATGACCAATGAGATTGCCTTATTAATCTTAATGTGTGTGTTGTCAACCAATACTTAGTGAAATGCTGGACAGTTTTAGATCTTCCCAAGCTTGAAATGACAATATTTGAATGTAGCCAAAAATGAAGTAGCTTGTGCAAATCTTTCATAACCGCTGATTAAATTCTAATGTGCCCAATAAATCATTAAACTTAAATGGATTTTGGGTGCTTTGATTTATGTTATGAAACTACTTAAGCATTCGATATCTTGATCGTGAAACACTGGTTGTATACTTTGCTTCTCGGGTCATTTCAGTGAAATTATTGTTATTTGACCCTGATTTGGCAACAGGAAACCTAGATTCCAGCCTGTTCTGTTTAAGAACAGTATCTAGCACAATTACTGCCAACTCATCATTAACATATTTCAAGAAGCTAAACACTGGGGGATGGGGATCGCCCCCACCTGGTGCCCCATGTTCAAAAAAATGCCGCAAAAGTTACCTCTATGGTAGATAAAATATGTAAGTGTCTTCTATAATGATCCAATGTGCAAAAAAAGGTGATAAAATGCCCTCGAGGGTGCCCTTCCAGTGAAGAAAACATGACGAAGAGCATTAAGACAGACACTCAAGGGATCGCTACAAAGGAGAGAAGTCTCACTAACTTGGCTTCTTATACTGTCAAAATAATTTTAAATTTTAAATTAGCGAGCTTTGCAACCTGCCTGTCTCTGTTATGTACCTGTATTTATATTCTTTCAGTGAGTCTTTCCTGTGATTTAACTGAGTCATTGAAAAAATGTCCAATTTAAAAAGAGAAGCTCAATAAAAAGTGGCTCCAAAAATTTAATAGCACATCAATCTTTATGAATACTAATGTAAACATGATCTAAACATGTTCTTTACTATAGTTACTATCACAGAAAATACAGAAATGTCTTATGTTGGTGGCCCAAGCATTTGCTAACTAAGCCCAAACCAAATCCAGAAAAGAAAATATCTAACCTGACCTGCAATGTCATACCTTACGTCGTCTATTGCTGAGAAGGATTGCTTTTGGTTGACTGTCAAAGTTCACCAAAATTTGTTGTTGTTGGTAGGGCTTCACATAAAACCAACTAGAAAAGATCCCTCCCCTTGAAGCTTAAAATGTATCCTGTGTGATTGCTTCCCAATGTAAGCATACAGGTGTTTGTACACGTATACAAACAACTGAGCACCTGCATACATGCTCCTTGGCTGATCCATGGGCGGGCCACTTACTGTAGAGGTCATGGGAAATACTTGCGGTAATAGCGAATTGTGAATTTATTGTGTCTGCACTGTAAGAAACCAGATTCACTGAGAATCAGACAGGATTTATTATTGTGTGTGTGTGTGTGTGTGTGTGTGTGTGTGCGCGCATTCCTGGAGAGATTGTAGCCTCCAGAGACAGACAGCCTGTGAAGAGAATCCAATATGCTGTTCCATAATGAAAGCTCTCAAGGGGGATCGCAACACTGCTTAGTGAGCTTTGTACAGTCCATTCAATCAGAGGCTGCCAACATGCTGGGATTTAGAGGCAACTGCCCTCACCACTGGTTCTCTGAGAAAAAGAGATAGCAATGCCAAAACAGTGGGAGCAAAAACAAAATAAGTTTTAGAGATTTTGGTGTTACACTCTTCTGTCATTTTAAATGATAACATTACAGTAGGATTGCGTCAGGTGATAGCATGTGATTGTCTGAGACAGCTGCGCAACCATCTGCTCTAGTGAAACATCCACAGCATGTCCCGTGTACATTGAAGGTTGTACAGCTTAGCTGCTGTGACAATCGGTTCACTAACCCGGGACAGGACAGCAAAAACTCTAGCAGGAGAGAAGAGTGTGTACATGACACAAAATGACTTCTTGCTGGAGCAAGCGAAACTGCAGTTCTGGCACGCAACCAATTCTTAAACCACTGTCTTTGGAAGTGTTTATATCAGCACATATTAAAATAGCTGCACATGGAAACATGTAGAAAGTAAAATGGTTTTGCTGTGCTGTAGAGGTGTTGTGGTAAAGATTGATGCACTTTCAAATACAGCCTTCACTTTTATTTGCAGAGAAGCGTTGGTCAATCGATTCACCTACAGACATTCAAGATCATTTACATTCAACTGTGCCGATCATCCCTCATATCATGTAAAAATCCATACGCTTTGTCAAGGGGGTTGGCGTGTGAGAGTGAGAGGAGAGGCAGTGACAGATTGTTTCGCTCACACTCTATTACCATCTTAAGGCAAGTGATTTGACTTTGCATGGGGCAAAGGCTCAGAAATGCCGATCTCGTTATTGGATTTCCTATGATAATGCCATAAAATGTCATCAGCTAAAAAAGAGATGCATCTATCATGCACAAGCAAATGTCAGAAGTAATGACACTTTATTATTGGTGCTCCTGTGTGATTTTCCTGGAAGTGTACAGGTTTGTGTGTGTGTGAGTAGCTTTTAATGTAAAAAAAAAATGGCTGAAGAATAGTGGTTGTGGTGTTGGGAGTGGAGCTACTGTACTGTCTGACTCCTTGCTCTTTCTAACCTAAAGGTATAATCTGCTGAATGGTGAGAGATGTCTGCAGCCTGGCCTCATCTGGGCAGAATGAAGATGGCATGCTATGACTACAGGCTACACAACACTGCCATGTGTCTGGCTGAACTACTCAAGAACGGGCTGACATTTGAAGTAAGAAGGTGTAAAGGGCCCTCAAAACTATAAGAGATGAATTGGAAGTAGCACTGGATCCCATCTAGAGGGGGATAAAGACAGATGGCCACACTGAAACCCATCACACTTTGAAAAAAACACAGAATGATTTATAGGCACTCTGAATTTCTCACTTCTGCTTTTCCTGCAAAACTACAAAGAAATTTGAGTTGATAATTTGTTAAAAAATCATGGGTAGTTTTTTATAATTGGAATGACACTAGGTGGTGATCATGCTGACCCATTGGATTTCCATCGTGGTCCAATTGAGATAAGTCTCCAGTGTATATCCCAATAGCATCCTGTGGGATCCAGGGCTGATTACGAACCAAATCTAGTGGGGTGACACTGGGGTCCCATTGGGACATACACAAATTTTACCACTTCATGATATACACAGCACTTACAACAATGTTAAGATCTATAAAATGAGCACAATCCATCTTTAAATATTGACTGATCTTTATTCATATTGAATTAAAAATATAGTTTTGACAGATTCATGTAACAAAACAGAGGGAATACGTATTTAAATGTTCTTGCTTGGGAAATGTGTCAATTAACCAGTGAAGATAAATGTTTAAACTGGTAATATGTGACAAGGTATGGTCTATAAAACTTAGTTCTCAATCATTCTGATGAGTCGATACAAAGCAATGATAATTTATGGTAGTGTTAACAATAGAAGAGTACTTTACTTTCTTCCAAACTATGATTTTAAATAGCCACATGGACTTGAGAAGTTTGCCAAACTGACCCCTTTACCAAATATATATGTAAATTCTGGATATTGTAAATGACAAGATTGCCACCAAAATCATCTATGCAAATGCCCATGCAGTTTTCAATGGTAAGTGTACAAGAGGCCTATAGTATTCTGCAGGTGACAGCCAATATATAAAAATGATAACAACATTTAAGTAATCCAAAGTTGATACTGGTTAAAATCATAACATTTGAAAACAAAAAATTCAGTATTCATCATTAGTAAAATCTACAGCATTATCAGAAAACAGCTCAGAACCTTTAGTTGTCTGACTCACTTCCTGCATGAATACAAGTTGTGCTTGAGTCTTCTACAGTTGAAATATCTAATATAACTGAAAGTGTACTCCAATTATCCAATTTTGCATCCATAAACCTTTCCTACAATTCTGTTCTCCCTGACAGGCTTAGATAGTAAATTTAACATCCAACCATTCAGCTTTAGTTTCTGAGCATGAGCAACGCTTGAATTCTGAAATAAGAAAATTGTTCTACATGATGATTTTGGTGCCAGTCCTAACATCAAATATCAGGTAAGGTGATAAATGGGCCAAACTCCCAAAAAAGTCCTGTAAAGATCCTGTGGAATATTAACTTCCTGTTAAACTGCGACTCCTGGAAAAGAGAGAACACTGAGGTCCTGATGAAGCCAAAAAAGTTTACCTACTAACCTCTACACAAGCAAATATCAGTAATTCAAATGATCAGTCCAGCCCATGCAAACTGTCTTCCATTTTGTCTCTCACCATTAAATCACTCCGGGAGCTGTAACATGATATTGCTACACAATTCAATATTGCCCCAAATGGATGAAGAGTTGAGTATCATCTGAAAGTAAACAATGACTGAACTCAGTGCAAATGGAAATTAAACTACTCAAGGTAATATAGTATAGGTCCTTAAAACTCAGGGTGTAAAGTGACACTGGTGGATTAATAACATTGGTTAGGAAAAGACTGAGAGAAAAGGGGGATAAAATATTGAATATTCATTAGTATTGCAACAGCATTTTAAGAGTGTACAAAATCTTTAAAAAAATCTCAAGAGGTGGATAATACTGAGAGAAGTGTGGAGGGTAGTGGAGGTATAACACACCCAGTAAAAAAAAGAAAAGAAAAACATTTTCACTCCTACAAAATGAGCAAGAGCAGAGGTCGAAACACAAAATCCACCAAGTTGTGCAGAAAACACAATCACACAATCACAGGGGAAATGATGGGGTGGGGTTGACAAGAGACCCTGCAAGCGTTTTTAAAATCAGAGTTCACTCTTCAAATTACATTTACAGAATATATATATGTATACTGTATATATATTTATATACATACAGAAAAGATGTTTCCCAAAGAAAAAAAATAAAAGGTACAGTAGACCACTAAAAATGCAATGATGCAAGGAGAAATAAGAACAAACAAAAAATATCTTGAGCTGGAAAAAGAAGCATCATTGTCCTATTTACAGATGAACCTGGCCACCTTTTAACTACCTATAAAAATACTATCCTCTTTTTATTAATTTTCTTTTAAACAATGGTAAAACTGTTGAGTGACCCATTATGTCTTTGTCATTTGGTTAAGACAATTATTAATTCCATTTTACAATTTTACCATCAATTCAATACATCGTAAACTGTGCTTACTCAACCACTGTCGTCTACCCCAGTTATCATGGCATGGTAGAATATACACATATGAATAAGTGTTAAATCAGAGTATGACAGCCATACACAGTTTGATTCTATTACAATGGTAGAATACGTGTTTGTCAGCTGCTTTATGATTTCCCTTGTGATTTGTTTGACGATCCAATGACCAACACCATTTCTAGTTGAGTAATAGTGAAGTTCTCTGAAATGTAGGGTGTGTTTATCCAATACAGTAAGACCATTTAAACCACAATTGGATCAATATTACCAATGCTGTGAAAAAAGTCCTCATGATATGAATAATCAAAGCATAGAAAAGTGAAATAGAGCACACTCTATAAATACAGTTGCTGTGTCCCACTTCAGGGGCTGGACCCTCCAAAGTCCTCATTTCTGGGTCGGATGTGTCTTAACAGCCTGACAAGGGCTGTCCCATTTCAAAGCAAAATTAAAGCCTGCCTTTGCTTTGGTGAACACAACTAGTTAGTCATTTGCAGTCCTCAATATCCCACAATCAACTGTGGTCAGACAATCCTCACAAACTCGTAAAGCTGGGAAATATCATGTGATGTCATATTTACCAGATATTATTCATATTATGCCTCTTAGAAGGATGTTTTTTCTTTGCCACTGTGGCGAAGTGCTTTTGGTGGGTATCGTTGTGTCTCTGAAAATAATTTTATAAGGAGTACGGTCTAGACCTGCTGTAGGCTATATGAAAAGAGTCCTGAGATAACTTCTGTTTTGATTTGGTTCTTAACAAATTTAATTGAATTCAATTACCAAAATCATACTATAAAGTCTCAGTCCCAGTCCCAGTCAACAACTGGAATTTAAATGCCACAAGGTGTCTGAGGTAAACTGCTTGTAAAAGCTTAACGAGTTGGGGAGGAGCACCTGAACACAATATTAGTTTTGGTCTTGTTTATCTAGTCTCATTAGACAAAGATAAGCAGACTGAATGACCTCATGACAACATCCAGCCCATGAGTTGGGTCATAGCTAGCAATTGCTTTAAAGTTGGTCTGAGAATATGACAATATGACAATATGACATTGACAAGTAAGACAATGAAGCCGTTAAACTGCACGTAAAAAAGTAAAATAAAAAAGCCCTGCCACAATGACACCCTGAAGAGCAAAAATTAGAGTAAAAACAAATCTTTACACACCATTTACAATACTTGTGATAACATTTGTTTAAAATACATTAATCCCCCCCCAAAAAAGAAAGTAGATGCACAAAATAAATAGAACTGTTTTTATAAGGCCGATTTACTGGATGAGCAGTCAGTATTGAGAGGGAGTTATTGTGCTCCTTTAAATAAGTACTGTATCTATGAGTCTATACCTATATTAAACAGAACATTATATCTTCTCACATGAAACTATGATTCATGTTAACATTTGACCACAATCGCTTTTTGTCGCCAGATTGTTTTAGTCTTTGTTCGTATTCACTCCACAAATAGCTGCTTTTCGGTTTTCACTTCTTCAGCTGCAGAACAGTGTTTGCTACATACAATTCTATAGTCACCTCCGAGGAGAAAGAAAGAATGGCAATCAACTTTGGTCTCCTCTGCCAGTTACAGTGCACTTGCACCTTCTCCCCTGCTAGCTTTTGTAACATTGATGCATTGGTCGGGTAACATTTCTGGAATGCTAATACCTTAGTTTTAACCTCGCTGCAGGATTACAACCTATTGCCTGTCGTTCAGGGTTTCTCAGCTGGTGCACTGGGTGATATGTTGGGTAACATGATTTCCCCACAGAACAACAAGAGAAAGTGGATGAATTAGCATTCAAAAAGCTAAAAGCCCCTTGTGATGCTTGCTGGCTGAGAGCACCAGCAGGTTTTCTCCTCCAGAAGATTGGCTTTATTTTTCCATAGAGATCCATTACGAAGCCTTTGGGTGACTCTCCACTGCTGTCATTGCACTTAAACACATGGCCATACAGTAATCTACAAGCACTACAACTAATACCTTATGGGTGATGGTATAAATAGACTTACATAACGACTTTTAACTCCAAAAATATGGAGAGGGCACTTTCATTGGACATATTTTCACAAAGAAAGTATACAGAAGTGTAAGCTTAAACTATTAAATCTGAAATCAGCAGAACAATCAAGATCTCTAAATCAGGTTAGTAACAGAGCAGTGTCAATGACACTTGACCAATGACCAATCAAACCCTGCCCCCCCGCTTATAAAATTCACATTTCAGCATTATGTCTACGGTATCATGGCACTAATCTGTCTTCCATTATATTTTTATTTCAGTAGGTTTGATGTCCCTTTATGATGTGCTAACTTGTGCCTCAGCTGGAGCTCAACTGGATGATTATTGTTCCCCATAAAACCTGAGAGGGGGAGAAAACACAGTGCCAGGGCAACATCTGTGTTTTGGACAGTAAATCATCAGCACTTGTCTGAATCTTCCCTCTGCCTGGTATTTTCAGTGTAGAGGCACAAGGTTGTGTGTAACAGTGGTTGTGTGTTGGTATGTCAGCAGTGAGACATGCACAGGCATTAGTCGGTCTACAAATTTCATGATATTATCATTTATCACTCTGGCTGGGCGATATAAAATAAAATCTCATATCAAGGTATGTATTGATTAATATTGCAATATCATTTTATATCCCAATATCGTAAAATTGGAAGTGTAGGGTTTAGAAAGTAGAAAGAGTCGAATGACTTGAGCTGCACTAACTTCTGTTGAGTTGAATTGTAGGATTTTGTGTTTTTGGAGCTTAAAAGTCCAGTGTGTAACATTTAGGAGGATCTATTGGCAGAAATGAAATATCATATCCATAGGTGGATAAATAGATGTTTTATTACAAAATATCACTTGAAAATTAGAATTGTTGTGTTTTTGTTACCTTAGAATGAGCCTTTCATATTTACAGATGCCACAGCTCGCCGTCCATAGAGTCCACCATGTTGAATCTGCCATGTTTCTACAGTCGCCCAGAATGGACATACCAAACACTGGCTGTAGATGGGCTTCACTCATTTTTTGGCGAGTTTCACAGCCACTGTAGTTTCTCCTACACACTTCACAGCCCATTCTCATTACCAGGTAGTCAAATTCAGATGTGAGGAGTGTTCAGTTAGTTGCAATCTTCAACTTCACCGCTAGATGCCACTAAATCTTACACACTGGACCTTTAAGGCATACTAGGGACAGGGATCTGCTGCTTCAATTTTGCCCATTCTTTTTAGAAAATTGTCCCATGTGTATCTTTATTACATTGCTGCAAAAATCCTGTAAATCAAATATTGTCAGCAGTGCCTGCTACAGTGTAGAAAATCAAGAAATATCAAAGGCATAACTATCTGGGTATAAATGCTATTGAAAAATTGACAAATTTCTATATCCTAATGTTGTGTAACGCTGTATATCGCCCAACCCCACATATTACTATTATGGAATTCTTTAGAGAGTGGGGATATTCCTTTTTTAGTAAACTGCCTAATGAAACACAAAACATGAGGCCTCAGTGCAATGGAAATGATCTATTGCCTTGCTGTAAATTATAGTTGCAAAATGATGAAAAAAAAATTAGCTTAGAGCAAGAATAACAGCAAAGTCATTTGGCTGTGTCAGAGCATTAAGTGCTATTATGTTATCAACCCCTGCCTAAATTAGGCTTCAAAGTCATTTGACGACAGATGCTAGTGGTCTCCATCAGAGTTTACTGTGGCATCTGGCAGTATTGTATGAGTACAGAAAGCTAGCCATCAGTGGATTCAGTGATAACTTGTAATGTCTCACCATTAATGTCAAACACCGATACAAAAGAAAGTGTCCCATTTTCTCATGGTGCTCCATGGTAAAAATGTGGAGGAGGCCTCTTTAGACAGTTTTGACAGTCTCTCCTCCTGAACCACCTTACCCTTAAAGAGACAGAGCAAGGCCCTGTACTTGTGACTAAGTGTTCAAAGTTGATCTTTTGTTTTTATTACATAAAATAGTATGAACACTGAGAGGTGCAAAGAAAATGTTATCCTTGTCCAGACACAGTTCGGTCCACGGGGCCTTTTCCAGAATTGTGTATGTCTGGTAATGACATGTGATTGGCTTATTTACAGCTCTGCAGGTTTTAGCCTCTTTGCCATCTCCACAGTGCTCATTCGTGGCTGGCTGTCTGTGCTGTTTGCGTAAGAGTAAGCTGACAAAGGTGACAAGGTGACAAAGTAAACAGATCCCTGATGCCTAAAAAAAAAAAAAAACCTATGCTCTCATTCAGATTCTAACAAACATATATGTTCCCCTCATGTTCGGTTTATATGCTCTCAACCATCATCACACTTCTTTCCCTGTTAAAAGATTGTCCATTCCCAAGCAGTAGTTCCACTGACACATTATTCCTTGTACTGCAGTTACCACAGGTTATGTCAGCCACGATACTGCTTACAATGATCTAATGAAGGTAACACTGAAGTGGATGGTTTGCTGGCTCTTCGGACTGGATTGGTGGATGAAAGAGGAACAAGAGGGATAGCTCATGTGGGAAGTTAAGGGTCGCCCTCTGAGTGATCAACCTTTTAAATCCCAACCTAGCCATGCCAATAATCTTTTGGATGCTTTCCACCAGGTACTGGGTGATATCACAGCTGTCCATAAAACTGTGGTGACATTTACTTTCCTGTTGACCCTTTCTCTCTGCTGCACCACTGACTGCCATTATCGGCACACTCTGTCTTCCAGCACAAGGTCAATTGAGCTTCTCCTCCAGAATATAATTTAAGTGGTAGCAGGCTTATCTGTCAGTGTGTGTGTATTGACTTATGAATGAATGTATGGTTATTGGTGTGTCAAGGCTGCAGGCATGTTAACATGTTTTAGGTATGATATGAGCTCTGTGTGATAAATGTTTGAAATCCATTACTGGTGTAGCAACATGTGAAAGTCACAGAAGCGTGTGGACAGGCATGCAAGCTACATCTGGGCTCTTAAGCATGACTGCAGGTTTGCTGGTAAGTCACGACACAACTTGATGTGCATGTGTCATTTGACAGACGGCACAAAAGCAATACCCATGTGTGCATATTGCAATGTGTACATGTAGCTGGATGGAAAATGTGCTGAAAGGAAATGGTGAACAGTAATTTATGGGTGGATGAAGAAAAGCATGTAAGGGCATGGCAATAATCCTCTCTTTGGGCTAACCTCAGTTCATTTCTCCCTTTTCTCTTATTAAACATCTAATTTCAATCTTTCATTGTGTTGTTTTTGTGCCTTTCTGGTCCAGAACAGAACCAACCTGGAAGAGATGTGTCTACTTGCTGTACTCGTCAGGGCCAAAGATGGAGCTAAAAAAGATGGTTTGAATGTCAAGTGAGGCTGCCAGTGACTGCAGTCCTGTCGAAAAAGGCAGGACCATAGAGAGAGAATAAAAGACTTGCAATCAGACATAACAGAGAGACGTGTTCAGGGAGGATGCAAGGAGAACCCAGGTTGAGAAGTACTGCATGGAAACGAGAGGACTGTTTAACGTCCATTTATCCCTCTATTCATCCCATCATTGTGCTATAGGTGGGTCACTACACTACAGTGTTCCTCTGTCTGTATGGAGGGGGTGGCAACACATTGCCAGCTTTCATAGCAGCCTCGGACAAGTACTCCTGGTTTTCTGCCACAGCAGGGCGAATACGTCCATTCTGCCGGTAGAAGAAGCGTGTGCTGCAGTCCTGCAGGTACTCAGGATTGTGCAGTGAGGACTTTGGGGGTAGACTGTGCTGCCAGTATTCAGGATTGTCAAAAGTGGCCTTCTTGCCTTTCTTATCAAACATGATGGTGCTGCTGGTGATGCCTGAGTGCAGAGTGTGTCCTGAATGCCCCGGATGCAGGGTGTGTGATGGATACGATGGGTGAGGAAAGTGGCCAGGGGGTACTACATATCCAGAGGAGGAGACCGTGTGGCTTGATGTTGATGGGTTGACTGTCTGCGATACTGATTGGGCAGCAGAGGACCCAGGGCCAGAGATGGAGACTGCGCCAGCCAATCCGTTCTTGTCCCCAGGGTTAAGGAAGGTATTCAGGTACAGTGGCTCATTGATATACTCATCGTCCCCGTGAATGGTCTGGCTTTTGGGAGCAGCAGCAGCTCCAGCCATGTGCAGGGTGTGACAGCCCGCTCCATCAATCACTGCGTGGGCGTCACCGTTCCTACGACGTGTGACAAAGGGGTTTTCCTCTATTGGGTTGAGATAGTCTGGGGAAAAAAAATGGGGTGGTAAGATTTGCTAGGATTTTCATCTCTACTGAAACAGCTATTGTAGACACTAAAAAGTTATTTACTGTAACACTAAAATAATGCTTACAAAGTTATTTCTGCATTTCTGTGGCCTTTGAGTTAGCATATCATATATCAAATGCAAAATGTAAATAAACACAAGAAGTAGTTCTCAAAACTGTCAAAGCAACCTGAGTTGTTCTTGTCCCTCATGGCAGCCATGTAGCCATCCTGGTCCTTGTCTCCTTTTGATCCTCGTTCTGCTAAAAGACCAGTTGGATCAGCACTGTAACGCTGTCCACTACTATCCTCCCCTCCACCTTGGGAAGCAAAAAGACAGTAAGGAAGCAAGAAATAAATTTAAAACATGGTACTTTACAAACCCTATATCCAGGATGGAGATCCTGGATACTTTGTAAATAAACACTGCAATCTATTATCGTGTACTGCTATCTATTTTGTCCTGTGAGTGAACTCATGGGCAGGGCTGTGACTAATTATTAATAAATGTCAGGCACTTTGTATTTTTATGGGGATTTGAATGCACAGTAGATAGATATACATTTATTTATAAAGCTTGCTTAAGGCTTGATTTGTCCCTTTTCTGCTGAAAACTAATCTGCGAAGGAGACATAAATGGGCCGAACAGAACTAGAAGACGCCACTGCTGATGCTTCTCTCCTGTTGCCAGAGAGGTACAATATGTGACTCAGTTTTGACAGACAGTTGCTAGATTCAAGCTTATCCTTTCGTCCTCATCTCCCAAATCCTCTACTGGTGAGGGATCCACTGTCGCAGTACAACACCAATGAAGAAACAACACAAAGGGTCAGTCAAAGAAGGTCAAGAGCCTGTCTGCCTGCCAAGTTGTGGTTTCTATTTTATGGTTATGGATTTTTAAAAGCTAATACCACATTTTTTTCAAATTTTTATTCCTGTAAGGTTGGAAAAGGTTTAGGATAACGCAAAGCCATACCACAACCATTTTCCAATTTACTGAAACTATTATATAACTAATAATAACTGATGAGTCAAATCAGCACATAGCAAGCAAAAATAAAAAAAAATTCAAATTTACTGTATATTTCTGTTTCTGTTTCAACCCTTTTGAGTGATGGCATCTGTAAAACAACACAGTATTACCATGAGCTGAAACCTCTGTATTTTACTGTCATATTTTCATTTCTTTCATTTCAGACATACTAGTTGACTAAATTGACTTCAAGAGTAGATCAATTTGATTAAAATTAAAATTATCGTGGCACAGGAAATGCTATACAAAAAATAAATTGTAATAACCCTGGTTAAGAGAGTACTTTTCTCATGTAAAGAGAAATATAATTGGGAAATGTACTGCCAACAGCTTAATCAGACTATTGATTTACTCTTTTCACAACACTATGCAGATATAAACACAGTTGATTACAGAGATCAGATTAATGCTGTAAGAAGTAATTTTAACATACAAACTTTAGTCAAATGTCTTAATTGCTCAATGATTTAAACTCCAAGTTGCAACAGTTAACTGAACTAATGCCTCACTCTTATAGTCACTGTTCTTTTATAGACGTTTTTATTTTCCTCACACTTAGTGAGGAGATTACCTTTCCCCTCAGTTTCTACAGTTTTTGGATAACACTTTTCTTTACCTAGTCCTGCAGTGAGAGTGGAGCCAGGCCCAAGGGTACTTGACCTTGGGGAGGCCTGCTTCCTCAGGGTGCCATTGCAGCGAGGGTCATCCTGGTTGCCACGGCCAAATCCGCCACCAATCTGCCCCCCTGAGGCCAGGTCCTGTGGAGGGAGGCAGCCTCCAGACACTGGTGGAACAGAGACCACTCTTGGGAGGGTGGCCAGCATGTCCTCCATGCTGAAACTGGCATCCTGGTAGCCAAACTGGTTCTGGGTAGAAGGAGAGGAAAGAAGGGGGGTGGGGATGTTAGACACAATTACAAGATTATCAATTTACCAAGCCAAAGAAAACCACAAGAAACAAACACACGTGGGAGTTTATTTCGACTCATCTAGTTCAACTCCAAGTATGTTGTCTAGTCATGAAAAACATTGAACACATCTGATATGATTTATTTACAAATAAAGTACAAAACAGTAAAAACATATAAACAAAAAAATAAAGAAAATACAAATGAAGAAAATAAGGACTTAATAAGTACCATACATTTTTTTCTTAGTTATAAAATGTAGTCTAAAAAAATAGGCAATTCAAGTTCTTTGTACCATTGTTCATCAGTAATATTTAAATGTGACAGGCAGGGGAGACAAACAGCAGTGCCAAACAATGATATGGCAGCATGACTGCCAAGGACAATTTAATTAAAAGGATTTTAATTAAAAGGCTCCATGCAGCAAAGTCTTAAAGTAGCCATATCAGCCCTGCCCTGCTGTGTGCATTTGTGTCTACGCTCATGACAAAAAAGGCTTTTTTAGAACCTCACTGGGTGCTTTATTCTGATTTATCTTTTTCCCCATGTATCCAGCAAGAGGTTTATTTTCTGTTTTTAAATTCCCTCTCTTAGTTACCCTCGCACAGCGTCTCAAAAGTCTGTAATCATACTAATAAGATAGAAAATCTGTTATTTTCTTGTTACACTTATTTTCCTTTGAACACACAAGTTGAAAGAAAGGCAAAGGGGACTAAAGTTCCTGGATTTCTGGTCTATGATAGAAGGTGCAGATTCAAATCCCACTTCAGTCCGGAAGTTTTTAGCCTTTTATTAGAAATTAGAGATGGTGAGATAAATACTGACTATTTTTAGGCTGTAAAATTGTCAAATTCAATAGGACACCAGCACAAAGTATCAGCAAATAGCAGCTTCAAACCAAAGTCTGACAACTGCCGTGTCATATTCAAACCCTGGTCATTGTTTTTTGATGCTACAGTGTTTAGAGGACACACAAAAGGTGAAGATGATCTAGAACTTTGTAGGGACTGTTTAAGAGGCATGCTCATTTTCTGTGACTGCATCATTCTTTTTTATTGTCTGTCTTTCACTGTTGGATTCTACCTCATTTTCTCATACAGTGGTCTGTACTTTAAGCCCAGAGGTATTAGTTAAAGTCCCACAGCTCACATTGTGTTTCCATTACCACTGTAACTATATCTTTTAAATAACCCTCTCTCAGTCCTCATTTACTCCTCAACCTCCTCTCTCCTCTCAATGTTATAAAAGAAAAATACCATCACTAACCTGAAGACAAAAGCCAAATGTCTTTAAATGAAGTTTGAAGTCACTAAGTGCTAACACCACCAATACATTATTTTGAAATAATCTTGGCCATAAATCCCATCATTAACTGAATGAATCAATTGTCGAAACAGAGTGTGAAAAGTAAAAACATCACACGTGAATTTAGGAGATTTAGGAGAGAGTAAAGTATTCCTTTCAAATGTCTCTCTGTAAAAAGCAAGGGAGCATGTGGCCATGCCACGTGTTTTAGCCACTACTACACTTTCAAATCTTGCTAATTCTGAACTTTAATTGTTAGGTAAATGCATATTAATGACAGTTTCAAGTGTGGTGAAAACCATGTGCGTTGTTTGTGTTTGTGTGTGTGTGTGTGTGTGTGTGTGTGTGTGTGTGTGAGGGGACTTAGGAAAAGCTGTTTAAGCTATGCTGTACAACTATGCAAGTGTGAAAATGATATTTATGTGTAAATACTGCATTTTGTTGGCTACAATAATTGAGTTCATTACAATCAACTGCATGATTTATGTGAATGAATGTAACTGTTGAAAACTAATCAAATACTTCAGTATGCACCCCAATAAGAAATGCTAAAAAACAGTGGAGGATAACTTTATAAATATTATGCAAATAAATAATCTGTCACCCTGTGAAATGCACCAAACAGAGTTGGAAAAGGAGTCATGTCTCTCATTGGCATTCAGCAGACATTTCTATCCTGACACAAACACAGGGAGATGTTGGAATACAAAATGGCTGAATTGCCTGGCTGTGTGACTGGTTTTGTGATAGATTTACGTCCAGAGATAGACAATGAACATTCGAACAGTTGAGGAACAGAGGGAATCTGGCCGTAAACCCCAATTTTGAAGAAGGCAATTACCACAGTTTCACAATGGAGAAGGACCAAGGGAAACTGACAGAGAAAGAGAGAGCAACAGGGAGATGAGAGTGAAGCTAAGAAAGCTGTGTGAGTTCTGTTTTAAGATCTCAATCTTTTGTGCTTGAACAGGAGAGTCCTGAAATACACGCTGAGAAAACTCATTCCCACATCACTTTAGAGACCATCTAAATGATCTGAATGACAACTTTGTATTGTCTCCTTTTCCATCACGGTTCAATCATCCTACTGCTACACTCAAAAATAAATCATTATATGAAAGTCCATGTAAAATTAAAAGATAAGCAACTAAGTTCTAATTTACAATACAACAAAAACAACAACAACAAGAAAACCATACAAGTACCAAGATGAATATTAAATAGTACAAGGGTTTTGTTTTAGTAAGTGTACTTCAGAACAGCCTTTGTGTAATATACAGTAGAAAACTGTGTGTATTGACTCACCATGATTTGATTATACTTATTATGGAGGGATAAGAAAAAAAAATTTTGTCTTTGCATCTTTCATTTTTTTCCAGACTGTGGGGTAGGGTGGTCGAGGAGAGTGAATGCCCCTTCCTGACTAACTGACTGACAAAAATAAAGGAAATGCATGTGTAACAGTATTCTCTCCTAAAATGTTATGGAAATAAGCAATATCAAAGTTACATGGATGTCTTGGGATTTACAGTATTAGGGTTTGTGTTATTGGCAGAACTAGCCAGCCTAATAGCTCATAATTGAATAGACATTTCCACTAAAATGGGAAACAGCTGCTGTTTCACTGCAGATCTGCTGCAGAAGAGGCCTGTAAAAGCTCAGTTTGATTATTTAAAAATTAACTGACTGCACAGTATCCGTGGCATTTATGAAAAAGGGATAGTTTACTCTTGTTGTAAACACAATTAGTAAACACAATTAACTAATCATTTCATTTAGCCTATGTGTTAGAAGCAATACCTTCACAGAGAGTAAGGGTCATGTTGGCATAGCTTACACTCAAGTTTCTGCAATTTGTTAAAAGGGATTAAAGAGTTATTTACAGTTGTACTTTGCCACATTTTATCTTCTGTTTTGGATCTCCTACATTCACACTTAATGCAAATTAATGCTTTTATTTAGAAAATAATCTGACATAATCTTCTGAAGTTCAGGAACACAAATCACTAAAACCCTTTAACTTGTGTTGGAAAACTAAGCCAAAGAAATACTTGAATCAAGAAACATAAATAAACTTTTGATCACTTTAACGATGGGTGTGGAATTCTAAATGTGGAAGAGTTATTACAACAGCTGAGTTTCTGTTTTCAGTTAAGGAAGTCCAGAAACTGTAGCTAAATGTGCTTAGTTTGGTGTGGAGACTTCTGGATCTCAACAAAGACAATGAAGTGAAAACTTCTAACTAATTTATCTTGAATGATGTTGGGTTTATTGGCTGGTATACAGACAAGCCATGAGGCAGTTACTGCTAGTTTCATGGATATCGTGGCATTTTAAATCTGATTTCTCTGATAGATACAGTCAGAGCAACAAATTCTGAACAAAAACAAATGACCACTGTCATCCTGTTGCATAACGGTAACTAAAAGAAAAAAAAAGGCAAACGGATGGCTCAATGAAAGCAATCGGTTCCCTCGTGTCATCTTATACAGCTATTCAAAAATCCATTAGTTAAAAAAACTCCCTGCTAATAGGACAAAGCAATAAGCATTTTTTAACATTGCATTCTTTGTTCCTATAACAGGGAAAACACAAAGAGGGAATTTCACACTAAATAGACAGAAACTTACTAACTTGATATGACTAACTAACTTGACTAACTAAGAATGGTTACAACAAGCAAAGCCTGTCTCATGGTACATAAGGGCACCTGTATATTGTAACATAGACTTCAACATCTGTGAACCTATTCTTTAAGCTATTTGGATATTCTTAAAAAAAACTATACCTTGCTGGAGTCCATGCGAGGGCGGGGAGTGTATGCAAGTGGTGGAATGTTGAAGGAGTGAGGAACCAGGTACTCTTCAGCATCCATCAGGTCCTCCAGCTCCTCCTCATCTAGGAGGCTCTGGAAGAACTTGCTGTCATTGGGGCTGGGCAGCTTCATGCGGTCGTCACCCTGAGAAAAGTTGTTTGTGGGTGTACAGCATGTGTGTATTCAGTAATTTGTATTAGTAATTGATGATGATAAAGAAATGATGAAGAAATAATAACTAATCAAAGCATAACAATCATTTCTTTAATTGTGTCACATTTAAGGAAAAATGCCAGAAATATCAGAGCAACAAGTAGTTTACATATAAACAAGAAAAGTGGGGAATATGACTTGAATAGAGAAATAAAAATGAAATAAAGATTTGTGTCATTATTATTTTGACTTCTGCTAATGATGTAGGCTCAGCTTTACTGTATTTGTTGACTAATTTAAGCCTAACACAACCACACAGTCAGTTTAAGGTACAACACACAGGTAATGCAATTAGTAATTAGTTTCTTTTCTCACAAAGGAATAAGAAAAGTAAAATGTAATTTGCAATGGATATTAAGGGCACCTACTAATTAGTAACACACTGCATAAATTGGCAAAATATTAGAAAATGATACAAAAACAAGCACAAAGGAGAAGATTGGCTAGTTTTCACTTCAAAGCTTACTGATTTGGGTCTTAAGACAAATAAAACAAATGTGATCAAATCCTAAAGGCATCTAATCCAGATCTTGTTGGTGTGTCATCAAGATTTACCTACCTGGATGACCAGGTATCTTTGGGGATCACGAGCCATCCGAGTAAACTCTGCAGCCAGCTCCTTGAACTTGGGCCGACTATCTGCATCAATCATCCAGCCTGAAAAATGCATTTGTGTTATTGTCCGACAATGAGTTTCCAAATACATATCTAGATATTAATATCCTGTGGATACTTGATATAGATTTTGCCAATAGGCAATGACTATAAATTTGACCCTATTAATGTAATGCACGTTTTCCCACAGTATGTTTTTCTTGGCTGTAAGCAAAAGGATCATCTACACGGATCAAGATCACTTTATTTCCTCATGCTCTGTGAACTTAACTGAACCTAAGTGGGAGGAAAGGTGCAATATATCGGGTACATGTCAGTGATGATCAAGCAGAGCATTTCTGTATTCCTCATACTTTGGTGTCAAAGATTCTGCCTACGCAGACCACGTCAAATATGTATATGCCTTTTTTCTTTTCTGTGCTTTCTGCATAAAAACATTCATAATACTTTTTGCACTTTTTACACATTTTTCATTTGAAGTACATGTGCATGTGGCTGCAGTGTGAATTGCTGTCACTCAACATGAAAGGTATTGAGAGGGAACTGTGTTGAAGGCTACTACTACAAACTGAGGCAGCTTGACTCAACCACAATTGTATAGACCAATCAGAGTCCTATGAGGAACTAATGGCAGCTACGGCATGAGCTATGATGGCTGCTGCTAAAGAGGTTAGTGTAGATGCTGCTAGCATCAGCTCTATCAGACCTGGAGTAAATCAAGAATGAGTAATTGGCCTGCCAGTGCATTTTGTCATCCAACTGTGTTGAAATTTCCCACTTCTAAAAGTCTCAAAAGATTTTTCATTTAAACCATTTCCATTACATAAAACATTCTTATTTGTCCCATAATGAACAATTACAGAATTTTTGAGTTCTCTTTATGGTAATCAAGTTTTCCAATCTAAAGATAAATACTGTTTCATCACTAGAAAGGCCATATGGAGTAATGTGCTCTTCTGCCAATTTTTCGGTGAACACAAGGGTATGATGCCAAAGCAATCATGTGATCTGGCCCTGAGAAGAGCCCATCTAGGTATCCAGGGAAATAAGAGATAGAGATCGAAAGACGGAGAAACATGGCACAAGTACAAGACAAGTACACACATACAGACACAAGAGATTTCATATGTAAAAATTATCATCTTTTATTTTGCTAGCTACTTTCATGCCAATAAACCCTGGAGTAGTGAAGTGAATATCAGTAAAAGTGTTTCTACCACATGTGTGCCGTGCAGCATGTGTCTGTGCATTTGGGTGTATGAGTTCTGCATGTGTAGTGCAAAAAGAAAGGGAGATAGCCGGCAGGTGACAGTGACCTCTTCCTGCTGTGGTCTGTGTGTCTGCTTGCCAGGTTGGCGCAGGTTCAGGGTGTCAGTAAGAGCCAAGGTTACAGTGAGGCCCAAAGGCTGCAACTTGGAGACTAGAGGACAAGGCCAGAGTGGAGCTGGCACCAAGTCTTTGTCCTGGCAGCAGTGGCCAGAGGTTACATCGCCACCTGTGACCCCACTGCCTGATGGCATGACAACAGTGACTGACCAATAAGGCAAATATGTTGGTGGTGGCTTAAAAAAATGAGCTTCTAATTCATCTTCTACTATAACTCCTCCTGAACCTGAAAGATTTCTCACTATTATTGCTATCAGAAATATGTTTCAACTGAAAAATAACAGCTGGGCTGAATTTTATAATAGAAATATTTCGACTTTAAAAACTTCCCCTTTGACACCACCTGGACCCTCTTGTACAAAACAGCCATTGTGGCATTTTGAAAATCACTCAATAAAAGCATAATTATTTTTGGCTGCTTCAACTAAAAAGCAGTTTGCCCTCTCTTCACCCTTTTCAACTGTTTGAAATACCGCGGATGGAGACAAAAACTGAAAATGTACAATATATTCCAATCCTAAACAATGGTAACTTTTGAGGCTGTGGTTTGTGCTGGCCTTCCATCTGATTATATTACACTGTAAGGGCTTTCTGGTCTTTTGCCCACCCTGAGGCTCTACGTACATTTGACCATGACCATGTAGACATCAATGGTGCAGATGGGCGGCTGAGGAAGACGCTCTCCTTTCTCAAGCAGGTCTGGGATATCTCTGGTGGAAATCCCATCATATGGCTTCCCTCCAAAGGTCATTACCTCCCAAATGGTTACCCCTGAAAAGAAAAAGAGGGAATAGGGGAAGATAGACAAAAGAAAAAGATAGGAGATGACTTAATGTAATAGAACAAGAGAGCAGAAATCAGTAATGTAGAGCAGAATCAGAAAATACATCCACAGAGAAAAGAACCAGCAAAGGAAACATACGTAGAATCGAGATGAGAGGAAAGTAAAGAGAGTGAAGAGAGAGAGAGAGAGAGAGAGAGAGAGAGAGAGAGAGAGAGAGAGAGAGAGAGCACAGGGTAGAGAAGATTAAAGCATTGAGAAGAGGAGTTTACACAGAAAGAGTAAAGAAGAGACAAGCAAAGAGATGGGAGGAGAAAGAAGTGAAATAGTTCAAAAGATAGACCAGAACAAGTAAAAAAAAAGAGGAAAAGTGGAGAGACAAAGAACAAAATAAGAAGAAACAGGAAAAAGCAAAGATGTGAGGGAGCAGAAGAGATCAGAGAGGATGGGATGAAGAGACAGGAGAGAATACAAGTAGACGACAAGAGGAAGCAACAAAACAAAGGGTCAAGAAGAAAGGAGAAGATAACAGAACACAAGTTAACAGAGGACAGAAGAGCTAATCAGAGTCTTGAAAGTCATCAGTCAGTCTGAACCTTCAGTCAGCTTTAATCATGTTAGTGTTAATGAGCTAATAAGTGGTAACCAGGGTAAATGCACACTATAAGATAGAAGTATAATAGCCTGCAGTCATAGAGGACCACTGGGGACATGGACACACTAAATCATACTGATACTTTAATCAAACACACATATTCTCTTTGATATGACCCATCTTGCATATTTTTTTGAAAATCTTTTTTTAATGACTTTTCATTCAGTCATTGTAATACTTAAACTGGAAATTGTTATATTGCCATATTGTGCAATATAGCAATACAAATCTTAAGAGACCTAGAGATTGGTCTCTAGATTTAAATCTTGCTGACATGCTGATGGCTGTGAAGACTGATTTTAATATTAGAGGATTTAAACCACTTCACCACCCTTCTTTTATTTGTTAGCATTGGCATAGTGACAAAAGCCTCCACTGCTACCTAGCCTGTCGGTCTAACAAGCAATCTGGAGTTTGCTGTTCTCGCAGTGCACAGGACTCCTTTCCCTGGACGATTGGCAGTGAACCATGTGATCTCAGTGAGAGCTCTCTTCTGTTCTGACCCCACAGTGGGGGGGATGAACTCCACACTAAAGTCAGGACAGCAGGGACACTGCCCATCTTCTGCCACAGACTGAAACTCACATTTTAAGACTAAAGTATATGTACGTACCCTACTTATTACATTACATTTTCTTTAAAAAAAAAATTCATTAATTTATAGAAAACATTTATCACAAATTGGCATGGGGTGTGCACAGACTAGGACAGGAGGACTCTGCAGTGGGTGATTAAAACTGCCCAGAAGATCATTAGCAAAGGTGCCTGTGCAGAACCCAAAGGACACTAAAAGACAGGACCCACTCTTGCCGCAGCCTGTTCACCCTGCTGCCATCTGGGAAGAGGTACAGGAGCTTCCTCTGCCGTACCACCAGACTTAAAGACTTCTTCCCTCAGGCTGTGAGACTGTTAAATTCTTCCTCATCAATTCATCATACAAATTAGTAATTTTTTTTTTTTTTTTTTATGACTCATTAATCAATTTTTATTTTGTTTTTTAATAGTAGCATAAAGGGAACTGTATCTCAATTTCATTCTACAACCTTGTGTTGTATATGACAATAAAATAACCTTGAACCTTCTTTATGGACAATTCAAATACCATTACATAGTTAAAATGAATATAAATAGGTATATAACTGTAACAGATAAAATTAAAGAGACAATATAGTTACATTAATAATTAAAGGGACTCAAATGCAGTTGTAAAATAAATGATAAGATCAAATATTGGCAATATGTGAGGAGGACAGTGAGGGTAAACTGGACTTTGACTAAGACTACTAAGAAAGAGGACCAATGAAGACTAAACTGGTGGCAGCCCATGCAGTGTTTCAAAAACACATACTTTTAAAAATCAATTCCATATTGCATGGGTAGCCAGTAAAGGTAGGATAATACGGGGGAGATTTGGTCTGTCCTTTTGTGAGGAAGCTCGCTGCTGCATTTTGAACTAGCTACAGGTGAAAGAGGCATGACTGAGTTCTTCATGAAGAGATAAAAGCATGGCAGTCGGTCTTCATGTCTCCAAAATAGAAAAAAAGCTTTTACTTTTGCATTGTGGAAAAGCAAAAAGAGTTTCCGTCTGATATATGGATATATAACCCTCATGGTCACTTCACACAAATGCCTAAAAGAAAATTTTGAAACTTACCGTAACTCCAAACGTCACTCTGATGCGTAAACTTCCTGTAATGAATACACTCCAGGGCCATCCATTTAATGGGCATCTGTCAGGTAAATGAAAAGCACATCTGTTTTATATACATGCAACATTTGCCATTAAAAAGAGTTGAAACTGATAAGGAAACTAACTACAAAAGTGTTGGGTTCAGACTAAACTAGGATCATCTTTTGGTGATATCTTGGCATACACTCACTGTATAAACTGTGTTACAGACAAGAGAGGTATTACAGAATGAAGGAAAACAAGGTTTGATAAAAGAGAAGACGAAGACATATATACACACACATGCACACACAAGCTCCAGCTGTATTGGAATAAGGTGGGGCAGACGGTCTGGGATGCGGCTTAACACTGTGATTAGATTTGAAGGCCAATTCTATTGATTACAGTGATGGAGGTTGAGTGGAGGGGGGTGTCGGAGGTTAGGTGTGTCTGTCTTTCTCTCAGTGGAGGGGATAATACCAGAATACCAGTGATAACACAAACCATGATGGACACACTAGAAAAGGGGATAAGAGAGGATGAAATAGGCTTTCCTGAGAAGAGAGGGTTTTAAAACTAAATACAAAAGAGGAAAAGGATGAACAAAGATTTGAAGAGGCCAGAACCTTGTGTACAGAGAGCTCCAAGGACATATTTGTTTACTACGTTTATAGGGTTTAGAGATCTTCATTCCCCAAAAGTAAATAAAACGGTCCAATAGAGCAGAATAGTATCTCACTGACTCCACTAAAACTGTCTTTTGTGATGGGCTAAGTTCCCCCCTGAGGATATAAAACCCTAATTAATGTTAATGTCTATTGTTGTCTTTTGCACCATGTCAATAGTATGGTCCAAAATAGTAATTCAATAATACTGTATCTCACTGAACCTTGGAAACCAAACACATCAAACAGCAGATAATAAAAGCAGATAATAAGGTCAGTCATGACAGGCTCAACTGATAATATGGTACATACCAGTAGATTATAGTATAGTATCTACCAACGTTTTGGGACATGAGAACTCAACAATCAACTATCTTCTTGGCTCTGATTGGTTGTTTTTGTTCATGCATGGTGGATTCTTGGAAATGCCATTAGGAGCACTACGAGGAGCCAAAAGACTTGATTCCTTTCACAGATGGGACAAAGTGGATTTCAGCAAATATGACAAAAAAGTAATTTTTATAAAAATTACCTAGTGCAGGTTTAATGTGTGTTTAAACGACTGTTGTAGTTTTATGGGGGGTTAGGGCTAGGCTATTTCTTGGCCTGGAGCAGTCACTTCCTAGAGTCTTGTCACTGTGAGGTTGCGAGGCAACAAGTGGAGACTCGACAGATTTTCACTGTCACACACGCTACCTACAGATATTACCTGTAAGCTATCTAGCAACAGACGTCCTGATCATCTCTGTGGAAGTGTGTCGTATATATACAAGAAATTTGTTTATTTGTCGGATAGAGTAGATTTCATGTGTGACAGAGTGATGATTGGATTTACCTTTCCTCCATCAGCATTATATTCCTTCTCATTAACATCCAGCAGGCGAGCCAGACCAAAGTCGGTGATCTTGATGTGGTTGGGAGATTTGACCAGGACATTTCGGGCTGCCAGATCCCTGTGAACCAGCCTGCGCTCCTCCAAATACATCATCCCCTGCAACACACACACACACACACACACACACACACACACACACACACAACACACACACAAACAGAACAATTATTTCCTGTCGAGGTCATTTATTATTATTATTTTTTAAGTATTTTTTGGGGCTTTTTTATTGCCTTTAATTGATAGAGACAGCCGAAGGTAGACAGGAAAGGGGGGCAGAGAGAGGGGATGACACACAGCAAAGGGCAGCAGGTCGGACTCAAGGACTCAACCTCGGTACATGGGTCTCCAGCTCTACCAACTGAGCTAACCGGGTGCCCATCGAGGTCATTTATATACAATAGACCTAACTGCAGGCATGAGTGTGGTCTAGTATGCAGTAACCAGCATAAACACACGTGCAAGTATGATTCCTGTTCAACATCACCATCTGTCTTCATCATCATCATCACTATCATCACAACCACCATCAAGACCCCATTAGAATTTCTATAATTATTCGTGTCATCATCATTACCACCTCATTGTTATTTTTATGGCTATAATTCACATCAATCAACAACTAGACTGTGGAAAAGCCCTCTTTATTGCCACATGCTTGGCAATGCAATAGCAGCAGCATCCATAAGCATCAACCCAGAGGCAGGTTTTCAATTAAAGACAGGACCCATAGGAGTGAGGAATGTTGGAGTAAAACTTTTTATTTAATGCATTTACTGAACAATTAAGAAGCCACCTCTCTGCTCTTCCTCCCTGTCCATACTTTAATTAATAATGATTATCTGCCATGAACAAAAGAAAACACATTTTTCTCCAACATTAATAAGTGTTCAGGTTCAAGTGGCCATGTGATTTAACCACCACATGTATTTTTTTTTCAGTAAAAAGTATTCATAACCCCTCTGAGGGTCAAACATGGACTGCAATTTTGTGTCAGCCTTCAAAAAACTATATCAACCTGTTACACAAACACAGACCCCCCCCCCACACACACACACACACACACACACACATACTAACAGATGAATAAGTTGGGTATGAGAATTAGCATCACAACCAGATAAGCAGATAAAGAAGTTCATTCTGACACAAAATGCCAATAATGTCCTCAAGCTACAAAAGGACAGCTTTGTATAGTTGTGTAAAAGCTTTTTCAGTAGCGCATCTACAGTCTACAGTGCCTATTGTGCATCCCTGCAAGAGTGGACCTGAAGAGAAAGAAAGATCGTATCTGAAGGGAAAGAAAGATGAGGAGGTGGGGGGACTATTTCAAATTGGACGAGCAATAACAGAAGCTACTTTGTTTGAAGTGGCTAGAGCACAGAAAAACAAGGCCTTATTTGAAACCAAAACAAATTGGATTTAGCTGGAATGGGCTGGAAAGAAAAGAGGAGTGGATATAAGAGGAGAGAGAAGGAGGGGTGGGGATAGGTGGGGTTGAGTGGCGGCAGTCTAAGAAGTGAGATTACTTTGGTAAGGCTATAATCACACTGCCTCATTTGGATACCCCCCAGGAGATAAAATGTAGCTCAAGCACACACCTACAGACGTGCAACTCACATGGGTGCACCTGTAAATGTATGTGTGTGTGTGTGTGTGTGTGTGTGTGTGTGTGTGTGTGTGTCAATGTGTCTGATGGGGGATTGAAAGAAGTTGACAGAAGAACTAAGAAAAAATCATCCATGTTAAATTGGTTGTAAATTACAAAAAGACACATAAATTGCAGACATTATATGACCTAAATGAAATAAAGCCATTGTCATACACACACACACACACACACACACACACACACACACACACAGACACATAATCACATACACTGTTAAAATATGTCAACAAGATGGTGGTGTCAGAGATTTGTTATGATTTTACTGACAGTAGGATACATTTGGCAGTTTTGTTAGTTCATGTCATAACACTGACAGAATAGAGGATTCATTGAATTAAAGGATTTGTGCTTGTTTGTTTTGATTTTGTCTTTTTATTAGTTTAACACCAACCAACCAGTTGCGTATGAGCAGTGATGTTTTTACATCATTTCAGAGAGATGCAGTGCCAGACACCATGGAGCTCCAAACCTGAAGTGCCACCTATGATTCATGGAATCAGGAATCCTGGCAAAGTGTACAGCACTCTCTCACTGATAGCATACAGAATGACGTTCATGTAGCCAGTAAATTACTTTTTTTAAAACTGCATTTTAACTACATGTTTGCTTGTAGGGTTATTATCAAGCTCAATAGGCTCCCATGAGCCAAATGTTAGCTCAGCTGCTAACCATAGTTGCCAACTTGGCAATTTTTACTAGATCTATGAACTCCTGGCAGCTTTATTTAAGTGCCTAATAAAAAATATGGAACGTTTTTCAAACTATAACACAACAGTGAGTATGTGTTGATTGCCAAAATACTTGATAATTGATGTACAGTATGACATTTCTCCTACTTACATGTCTAATCCAAAGAGATCTGATCCCATCATTATACTCATGTTATATCAGACACAATCTAAATGTATATCACTAAGTTGATGACTGCTGATGTGTACAGGTTTTTGAGCAGCTAATACTAATAATATCTCCTTAAAAATCTACTAACAGTGCTGGTAACTATGATGTTGGTTATGATGCAGTGTGACCTGATGTTCAAGGTCAAGGGACGAGGTAGGAAAAGTGACACTTGCGTAGAAAAAGACGAGGCTAATCAGCATCAAAACACAGTGGGTGTGATGTGTGATTTCATTCCTCTCTCTGTGACTTTCTTCTCTCCAGTATTTTGTCCAGCTCTTGCAAGCATGTGTTGCTCAGCTTGATACACAGAAAGGCTGGAATTGAAAAGACTAAAGGTTGGGATTTGAGGTATGCCACAGTGGACGTCACTCAGATCTCACAAATCGCCAAGTCTCTGTGTGTGTATGTCATGGTATACGCTGCCAGGTTTCTGACAGATTCTTATTTGTACATAAATCGCGCCCGGTAATCTCCTCAATTTTCAAGACAATTAAGCAGTGGAGGGAGAAAGAATGGCTTGGCAACCCGTGAATTTTAATTTGCCAGCACAATGAGATTGAGAGGGGGAGGTGATGGAAGTGTGCAGAGTGGGAAGTGGCTGCAGACGTGCGTGAGGAACAAACTTTTTTTCTTTTTCTCCTCAGTTGCTCTCATTTACTGCCCTCTCATGTGGACATGATGAGAACAACTCACTGCCAGAGGTTTGTAATTGCAGCAGACTTGGATGTGACAGCCAGGGAAATGCCATTTGTGGAAGCTATGTTTCAGGTAAGCCAGCCACCAGAGAAAAATCCACGGCTTCAGACAGACTCTGTTATGATCGCACCTCCAGACAAGGTCTGCTTACCAATCAGTAGGGATCAGGCCTATGCCCCAACCCCTGCGGCATAGGATTTTACATGGAAAAGGAAGCCGAGGAAAAAAATCTCAATGGTAGGAGCAAAAATGTCAAGGCTTTGAATCACATAGAATTGCAGGGAAATTACCAGTTTATTACAAAAACCTTTTGTGTAACCTACAACAACTCTGTCACCTTTTCTGTCCAGCAGTCTGAAGCTGTAATTGCAATAGGTACAGACATTGCTAATTCCTGCTTGACTTACTGTAGGTTTGTTAAAAGTAAAGATTACAAGCAGAGTAATTTTTTAGTGTAAAGAAAATGTAATTCATAGAAGAAAAAGGGAAGGTGAACAGGGCATAAGCAGTGCTACAGGTCTGTATGCAGGAGGCTTTACCGCCCTCTCACCAGCCCAGAGAATTACTGCTCTCCCAGAAAATATTCTGACCTCCCGTCATGGTTATTTATGCTTATTTCAAAGAGTCATGCGAACAAAACCCAAGTGGACGGGATTGTCCTCAGATGTGTTTTGTGAAGACAGATTTTTTTCTTAGTGGGGAGAGGAGGGTGGAGTGGCAAAGGCTGTGAAGATTAAATCAATAGGAGAAGAGCGAGGAGAGGTGGTGCCCATTTTTCACCGGCTGGCACTTCCCACTGTTGTTTATTCTGGCAAGATAGACACATACACACACACACACAGACAGTCCCATACAGAGGAAGCTGTCAACACACACACACACACACACACACACACACACACACATACTGAAATCTATAATCAAGTGATTCATCCTGATTCAATGTTATTCGTGAGGAAACACTTCTAATGAGATTTAACATCCTACAGAGGCTATATAAACCTCTTGTGTGTTCTCTTCTTTTAGTGAGTGTGTGTTAGGTGATTCACATTTATTTTGATTATTTGTAATCCATGATTAAGATGAAACTGTTCTTTAAGTAGCTAAAAAATAGAAAGATTATGATATTTGGAATAGAGACTAGTTAGATTTCTGTTAATAGAATGCACAATTTGCTCTGTTTGCCATACATTTGCCAACTGCTGCAACAATTAGCCTAGTTTAGCATAAATACTGGAAGCAGTGGAAAACAGCAAGCTCGGCTCTGTCCAAAGTAACACGATATTAATAAAAACACCTTTATATAAAGTCCAGGGGCCTCATGTACTAAGACTTGCGTGGATTTCGTACTAGAATGTGGCGTACACTGAAAGAGTGAAAGTTCTGTAAGCAAAAAAATATTCAGATGTATCAAAACATGCGTACGCAGAATCCCACGCACATTGTCTTTGTACGTCGCAATCAACGTGAAATTGAGCTCACATGCACGAGCACAACGCTCCACCCTGTCCCCTCCCTCAAATACACCGATTTGAATATGCTAATTAGTATAAATAGGCCTAGATAGTGCTGTCTTTAAGAAAATGGCAAAAGCCAGGAAAAAAAGAAATTTTACGGAGTGTGAATTGGAGGTGCTGCTGACGGAGGTAGAGCCCCCAAAAAAATTATTTTGCGTGGCACAGGCAGTAAACTTGGTGGGGTCGGAGAACGGCACCGCAGCGGAGTTGAAAAGTTGAAAAGTTGAAAAGTTGAAAAAGAAGTGGTCAGATATGAAGACATATCTGCCCATTGCCAGAGCCTTCAGGCCACAGGTGGTGGAGTCCCTGTATTA